TTGACCTGAGAGCTAACTCCGTTGGAGGGTGAACGAATATGCGGTTGGTCGAAGTAGGCAGAAAGCCGCTGTCGCATGGGTGCACCGAGCACTGATGGTGCAGGCTCTTCACAGCACCGAGTTTATAGCGACCAGTCTACACGTATGCCATTTCTGCGATTTGATATCTATATGTATGAATTTGGATTTGTTTGGTTGAGTTTCAGGTCCATACCATTACGCCAAATTGTTGTTAACCCTCGCCGGCCGAGGGGGGGGGGGCGGGTGCCGCCCCCATAGTTTTTTTTTTCGCGATAGCTCCGAACACGCTGGCGATAGAGAGCTTGAAACTTAACCCGGCACCGCCTGGGCTATTTCCGTACCCACGACAGCCTGGGGGGGGGGGGGTCGGATCCGACCCCCCCCCCCCTGTTATCTCGAGAATCAATGGTCGCATCGAGCCCCGCGAGGCGGCGTTCGAAAGGTCTCTTCCCAAAGCACTCTTAAGATTTTAAGATTGAGGTCAAGTTTGCCGGTCCCGTAGCTCAGTTGGTAGAGCGTTGGACTCCGCGTGGTGAGAGCACGCGTTCCCGGTTATAACAGTCCGGGTTCGAAGCGCGACGGGCGCTTGACATTTATGGGCCTCCTGACAGGTATGGTTGCGGTTGGTGGCAGGCCGTAGCCAGACGAAGTCAGTGAGGGGACCGGCCGTGCGCGGCTATGTGCGCACGTTAAACTTTGGACTCTAAATTCTGCCATAGAACTGGAATTGCGCGATCGGAGGGTAGAGGGCAGGGTCACCGCAACAAGCTTCGCTTAGCGGTGGCTCTGTCCTTGTGAATCCTTCCAATTAAAAGGTTCGGACTAAATTTATAAAAAAAAAACTTTCGGGTCAAGGTCAGGTCAAAGGTCGAATTCTAGGGTTTTGCATGATTAGGCTTACGGACAGCGGAATCGATAGCTGCTGCTCGAAACACGCCAAAAATGACCTCAAAGACCTAGTGAAGGTACCATGTGCGTATAGGGGTCATACTAAGTACGGATCAAGGTCAGGTCAGGTCACGAAAGGTCACGGTTTTCACTTTCTACTACATGGGCGTGCGACACATGTTTTATGGCTTATTTTTCACGCCGATTCCGATGGTAATGGTTATATGTGACCCCAATTCACTGTGCTGGTGATAAGTGTGCATTGAAAGCATAAAAAATCGTTTATACCATACATAGCTAAACGAGGGCTAAGAAAAAGGTCAATTTTTCAATCTTTTATTTTTGACATAAAAATGCACTTTTCTAGACGAGCTTTGTCCCAGGAATCTAGTGGTGCCATTTGTTTTCACATGCGATGTTCAGAAGTGCCTCTAATTCACGAAAATGCTTATGACGTCACCATGCCCTATGCATGTTGGAGCTATTTTTTTACAATTTGGGGGTCAAAAATCAAAATAGAAAGTTGAAATTTGGGACATCTAATGTTCTAATAGAGCTCTATAGCATATATTCCGGCTTTTTGGAAATTCTCTAAATTTTGGATTTTATTAGCTGTTTTCCAAAAAATATAGTTTTTTGAATTTTTAGGGGTGAAAAACGCATTTTACGGAAAATCCGAGATAGCCATTTTAAAGAACTCGTTGAGCTGCGTCTGTTCATGTCCTTAATTTGCAATTTGCTTTTAACCCTGATTTTTGGCGATTTTTTAAACATTTACCACTTTTTGATTAAAAACGCCATGTAGTTACATCACTAAAATCGATATATCTCAAAAATTTTTGAAACTTTTTCTTAAAAATTGCACAGGAGACGTCAAATTGATGGGGGAGAAGGTATGCCTAGTTTCAAGTCGATAGCGTAAGCGGTTCATGAGTTATTCAAGAAAAACGAAGGGGGATCGGACTGACCCCCCAGGCGGTCGCGGGTTAACATACCTGACCTTTGATTCAACCCGGATCTTTTGACACCAACCGCATAATCGGGTCAGGTCAGGTCACTGACCTATGACGTCAGAAGTGAACCTATGCACGGTCTCCAGATGTCGCATATTCGCAACGCCCTCACTGCCAAAGGAGCTTTCACAGAGAAATGAAGCTTGCAGGATCTAGTATACATTATGAGTCTCACAACGTGTATATCTCGGATTTTTCCTCAAGGTCATATGAGGTTAGATCATTTTCGTGACCTTACCATATATAAGTCAATGGGGAAAAATGAAAACTGCTATTCTGGCGCCGAGAACGATCTCCAATTATCTCAAGCACACAGAATCGCTAGTTGATGCACTCCTTGCAAGGTAAGATGCGTCACTTTTGCAATGTTGACCTTGCGTGACGTCATTTATGCCGCCATCAAGGTCATATTAGTTTTTCGTCAATAACTTCCGATCAAATTGAGCTAGCGAGTCGGGAAAGCCACCAATGGACTCGGGACGACCTGCCGAATCGAATGATATGCGACATGACCTCTTTCGACCAACTTCGTGACCTGGGGGCGCTGACCTGACCGTGACCTGAGGTCAACACCCTAAGTTGACCTGACCCAAACAAAAAGTACATCATTCGACGCGCCTGAGCGAGGCGAACACGATGCTGCCAAAATCGCGGCTCTGCGGCGTTTTTTTGCGAAGTTATTCACCAAAAACGGAACCGTACCTTGGGGCATCTCAGAGGTTACCGGTTGACCTGGACCTTAAAATCGGCTATCAATCTCTGCGTCTCGTAACGGCACACACGCTCGTTTTTTTTTGCGACGCGCTAGCTCCACCAGGGGCGAAACGTCGAGGCACCGGCGAAACGTCGGCGGCAGCTCACTCCACCGGTCGACTGTGCTGCTGGTGCGGGCCGCGGTCGGCGGCAGCTCACTGTGCTTGGTCGAGCGAAACGTCGAGGGGGGTCGTACCCGCCCCCCCCCTCGGCCGGCGCGTATGTAGAAAACCAATAGGTCCGGCGAGGGTTGGAGAGTTGGTAGTCACGTACACCAGGGCTGCGAAGTCGGAATCGGAGTCGGAGTCGATTTTGGGAACCGGAGCCGGAGTCGGAGTCGGAGACACCGAAAATCCATCGACTCCGCAGACATGGCAGAGTTGCGGAGTCGTAGTCGGAGTTGGAGTCGGTCGAAGTCAACAGTTCTTCCAGTAGTCGGATTCGGAGTCGGAGTCACCGAAAATTGACGATTCCGCAGCCCTGGCATACTGCTAATTGCTTTTTAATAATCCCCAAGAAATGACAAATTGTTAAAATTGCAGTTTACCCTCGACTGCCCCATTCATTCCTCATGATTCCATGCACGGAATTTATCAAAATTCAAATTTCAAATTTCTATAAAATAAGCTGTATCTTACATACCTACTTATGAATAGAAACATCTACAGTTTTTAGACGAGAATATTTAACTTGACCTAGTTACCAGAACGTAGATACCTGGGAACAAAATTTGATTTCGCAAGTGATGGTAGGGGAGAGTGGGGTAAGATGCCCAGGGTGGGAAAGACGCCCCACCCCCTCTAGCGGCGAAACAATGAATCGAACCTGGAAATTAATGTTCTTAGCGTAAAGCGGAAGCCTGCCTTGTTAACTGCACAAAAATTTGCGAAGCTCAGTTGGGCAACGGCTGGCTGGTGATTGCATGTTTTTTATTTGCTGCTTTCAAAAAATATTTTGGCGTCAAAACATTGTAAATATCAAAGAAGGTAGATAATTTTTGCGTCCCTTGGTATAGTCGTGATACATTAACATGCGTGTACTGTGTTCCAAAGAGTTTGTTTCAGGGTGTAGTTTTATGGCTAACAAATTGTGCTGATTTAATGTTACTTCGGTACCTTGGGGTAAGATGCCCCCTGTCCTGATGGGGAAAGACGCCCCCCTAAATCCGTAGGCTGTCCTTCAAGCAGCCCGTCAAATCATTTGTTACATACTTGTGATGAGAGACAAAAGCCGATCTGGGACTAATGAGAGTCCGGTACGGTCGGGTGCTCCCCATGCCGGTCTCTCGGCCCACACAGCGACTTTTTGGGCGGCATCTGATTCTGAGAGCCATCAAGACGGCCTCTGTGGGCCCCATTATTGGTTCCAGGGCCCCTCACGACATCCTTTGAGGGCTCCCACGTTGGTTCCACGGGCCGCGCTGGCATCTGAGGTCCCCACGATGGGCTCGAGGCCCCTCAAGCATCGTGAAGACCTATAAGGGCCCCACAGTGGTCTCCGAACGCCACCACGGAGGCTTGTTTGGCCACGCTGGACTATGATGGCCCTAACGATGACCTCTGAAGCCCCTTACGACTACTTTTGAGGGCCCTTACGATGACTTTTAGTGTCTATTGCAGGCTCGAAGGGAATACTGATTCGTTCAGGCGATTCACGTGCCTATTTATGTCACTTATAGTGCAGGGGGCCTCTTACCCAACGTCAGGGGGCGTCTTTCCCACCCTGTGGGGTAAGATGCCCCTTTTCACTTCTTCAGGAAAATGCTTAATAGCAAAAAATGTTATCATATTTCAGGCACGAAAGTGTGATATTTTTGGAGAAAAATGATGTCGGCTTCGGTTGAAACTCCAAGTTTTGGCTTTCCGATCGTCATTTTTGAATAATATATGACATAGTCAAACCCTGGGCATCTTTCCCCACTCTCCCCTACCTATGGAGTCAATCGTTTGTAACGTGATGTGCTCATGTCACTATTACGTGTAGGTATACGTGTTACGTGTACGTAATTACGTATGCCTAAGGATTAAAGCTGAGCATGCATTGCAATCTTCCTGGTTGTCATACGAAGTTTTACTTGCCTGTTACAGGCTACAGGGCTAATGAATTATATCTTAGTTTCTACTCAAAGATAAGCTTCAACTTTCAATGCCTGAAAGCTTGCGATCAAGTATATACGCAAGCTTGCCTTACAGCATAAATCCATTATCATCCACCATTGTAGGAGTAAGATAAACTTCCGGTCCAGGCTCCTTGCTCCGGGCAGTCACTGTCAGTAAAACACGCGTCTAATCCCTCTTTATAACGCTCCCCTCTCTGTGTTTTCAGTGGTGAGGTCGTGACGTCATCGGCGGCCGGGGCGTGACGTCACCACTGGGCGGCGGCCGCGGGGTATGTGGGTCGGGCCGGTATGCGTCTGCCGTCTGGGGGCCGTCTGACGCTGCCGCCGCTGGTGCTGGTGCTGGTGGTGGTGCTGGTGCTGGTGCTGAGGTCGGACTGTGCTGCTGGTGCGGGCCGCGGTCGGCGGCAGCTCACTGTGCTCGGTCTGTTCGACATGGACGCGGCCCGGTGCCGGCGGGCGTGCGGCCGGGCGCCCCATGAGGGTCACTCGGACCTGGCGGCCGTGCAGCTGGCGGTGCAGCACGTCAACCGGCGGCGACTGGTGCCCGGCTATCGGCTGCGGCTCATCACCAACAACACCCAGGTACTGTTCGTAGTGGGTCACCAACAACTCACGGGTATACTGCCTATGCAGTGGTCACGAGCAATTCACGGGTCTCCAGTACTGTCCCCATAAATCCCCAGCACACGCAGGCGTTTTCTGGCAGGTCATCAATAACGTACGGGTTGTGTCCCCAGGAGGTTACCCAGTACAGCTGCGGCAGCCATAGTTCATCACACTCGGGTGCTGGACATTTACCGGAACACGAAGTGCTATTTGCATAGACCACCAACATGCTATACCACCAGTCGGTTTTTACAGGTGATCAATAGACTGATTAATCTCCGGTTGGTCCCACATAATCAGCGCCATTGCTAGGTCAAAGGCGAATTCCTCGAAATCCGCAAACACCTCACACTGGGACGACCTTCGAGACAAATCAGTGTGTAGGGGGCGGGGAAGGAGAGTGGACCGCGACCTTTGAAGCGGAACCCCGGGGATGCCACGCCGAGCTAATCTCTCAATCAATCTAACTTCTGTGGCGCTGTGACTCCTGACATTTAGTGGCTACCACAGACTTTGGTGTTACATTCGGGAAATTGGTCAGAGTTTGGGCCTCAGACATTCGTGGCTATGACTGATTGAGGAACAGCGCAACCTGCCTTGGCTGTCAGTTTGCCCATGTGACACTATCGTGAAGGCGAAGGCAAGTAACGATAATCTTTTGTGTGTTTGAATGACAGTTTGTAATGACGGTGCGTAATGATGTGTTATGATGGGTTACAATGACATTATTCTAGAAACATCTATATCAATGCCCGTCGCTCAACGCTCGCGACCACCAACCACGGCAGAGTGTCACCACTCGCCCGCCATCTCCCACCTACCATCTGTACTAGTGATGTCAATTACGGAAAATCGGAATACCGATACCAAACCAAATACCGACCAAAACCACGGGAAAATACCGAAACCAAACCAACTTGGGAAAATGAGGGAAATACCAACTTTTTACCGATTTCTTAGCATCTTATACCTACATTAGTGAGGGTTTATGATATCAACAAAATACCAAACACATTACGATTGAAATACCAAATACCAAGTTGGTATCGGTTTGGTATCGGTATACCAAAAAGTTGGTATCCGATTGACATCTCTAATCTGTACCGCCCACCGCCCACCGCCCACCACTGGCCCTACGCCCGCCGTCCTCCGCCCACCGCCGCCGCGGCCGCCGTGGCAGCCGCGATCCACAGGAAATGGAGGTGATTAGCTGGAATACAGCAGCTAATGGGAGGCGGCTGGTGACAGCGGCGGCCGTCGGCTACGGCCGTGTCCCCACTCACACCGCCCGCTGGCCGGGCGGGGCCGTCGCGGCGGGGGGAGATGGGTCGGGGCCGTCGCGGCGGGGGAGACGGGTCGGGGCCGTCGCGGCGGGGGAGACGGGTCGGGGCCGTCGCGGCGGGGGAGATAGGTCGGGGTCGTCGCGGGTCGGGGCAATCCCTGCGGGGAGACGGGGTTGGCGTTTCCTGCTGGGAATACAAGAGGAGGAGATGGTTCAGAGAAAAGAAAAGGATGATAAAAAACACGGTTTGAAAGCGTTTAGGGGTGCCGCTAGATATTCGAGAATGCCGGTAAGCCAGATGGAAACTCGAGGATGTCAGTGGCACAGAGAGACGCGAGTCCCTCCGATAGGTACCGGATAAGATACAGAGTCTGCAGAGAGACCTCGCCACCTGCCCCACATAGACCCAAAGTAGGTACTTGTGGTTGAGCTGTGATAGCTGGTAGCCAATCGACAGTGACATGAATGTCACGCGAATAAGATGCTCCGTCCGGTACTGCAGACTGAATGTGACTGTCTGAGAGATGCTCTGTAAATGTATTATGCTCTCGTTCTGTGTTGTTAAAGAAAATGGCAGTCTCCGTCGGTAGTCTGCCGCCGTTCCGTGACCCTGACCGCAGTGGATGTGTTGCGCCGCAGTGCAGCGCTGGAGTTGGGGTGGACGCCTTCTTCCACGCTCTATACACGCGGAAGTCGAGCCGAACGATAGCACTGATCGGCACCGGCTGCTCGGAGGTGACCGAACACTTGGCGCAGATTGTGCCCTACTGGAACATACTGCAGGTGAGCTGAACAGACACATAACAAGTCAGAATAGAACAGGACAGGACAGGTCATCGAGCACATGGCACAGGTCGCCCCCTTCTGGAACATACTACCTGTAAAATGAGCCGGAACAGAACAGGTCAGGATAGGACATAACAGAACAAAACAGAACAGAACAGGATAGGACAGGGCACCGATGGTCGTGCTCTAGTGGAACATACTGCCGGTGAGCCAAATGGACTACATACCACAACAGGTCAGAACAGAACAGAACACCTGGCACAGATCGTGCACTGCTGAACCATGCTGCAGGCGAGTGTAACAGAATAAAACCCGAGGCGCACAGCGCTGAAACAAACCAAATGATTAACCAGTGGGCGAAAAACATACACGCTACGGATTGGGTTATCGTAAAAAGTGGTTTGGACCCACGAGCACTAACCGTATTATGCCAGTTTGCATTATTTCTCAATTCGTGACCGTCGGTTATTATTTCACTCGGCCATTCGATGGCCCTGTATCACGTAAACAGGCAATATCTCTTAATTGCATGCTCTTACCCTCACTCATTTTCGCGTGTTCAATGATTATGTCTACTTATCTCAATGAGTTTCAATTATGACCGTAATAAATGTTGTGTCGGCTCACAACGTATGGTGTAGTTAATTTAGGAAAACAATGACCGTTTAACGTAATATAAATATAATTTCACAAACTATGTGATGATTCAACGCGATTGTCACCGAGGTGACCTCCCGCTGGTGTTTGCTTTGGTCTCCGGTAGATATCATTTGGCTCGCTATAATTTCTGAATGTTTTGTCTCCGATAGATGTCGTTCGGGTCGTTCTCGCCCGCCCTCAGCGACCGCACGACATTTCCGCTGTTCTTCCGTACCTCGCCGCCCGAGTCGGCGCACAACCTGGCGCGGTTGGCGTTTGTGGCGCACCACCGCTGGGACGCCGTGGCGACCGTCAGCGAGAACCTCAACGTGCACACACTGGTGAGAACTATAGGAGCAGTGAGAACCTCAACTTGCACACGCTGGTGAGAACTATAGGAGCAGTGAGAACCTCAACTTGTAAATGTACACGCTGGTGAGAACCCTGGCTGTGAGAACCTTAGCGTGCACACGCTGGTGAGAAGTGAGAACCCTCTCTGTGAGGATCTCAACGTGCACACACTTGCGATAAATATAGCAGTGAGAACCTCAACGTGCACACGCTGGTGAGAACCCTAACGTGCACAACTCTTCACTTTGGGGTTCAGTCGTTTTTGTACATACCGACTCCAACAGAGAGTTTATCCAACCAACTGTGACGTCAGCGGGCAGTCAGGAGACGTTAACATTTGTGGCAGCTTGGTGGATGGACGCTGCAATCGGAAAAGTTGAGCGAGGAATCATCTGGCGGTAACAATGTTATCATATCATGCTGAGCGATAAGTTATATCCCATCACAGCATTCTTTAACCCGGCCGGGCCCGGGGGGTAATCCCAACCACCGCAGCCCGGGGGGGGGCGTTTTTCGCCCCCCCCCTGTCTAACTCCGTAAATAAGGGAGCTACGGAAACAAAAGCGATACCAAGCGAAAGGTCCTTACGAGACGATTCTAAAGCACCTAAAATTTTTGACCTCAGGTCAATTTTCAAGGTCAGAGGTCAAGGTCAAAGGCAAAAACCGGCACATGTGTAGTGATCTCAAAGTAAGCCTTCTAGAAGACGGCAGGCGGCATCAAACCGGCAAAATTGGGTGTAAAACGAAAGAAGAGAATCTGAGGATTCTGAAAATGTGCTCAAAGTGAAAGGTCAAGGTCAAGGTCACGCTCAAAATTGACCTCAAACTTGGCACTTTTTCGCACATCTTGCGTGCTAACTTCCAAGATGTTTTGAAATGTTTTGAGGCTTATCAGTTCCCTATTTGTGGTTCATCTTACGATACAAGGCTGCTTAAAGGTCAAGGTCACTGAAGAGTATCCCTGCTAGAGGCTATTTCACTAATTCAAGTTAGTAATAATAAATAAGACAATTTTGCCATCCGGAAACTCTAAATGAAGGCTTAGAGGAAAATAGATGCCAGATTCGTGATCAGCGGGTACAAATCCATCATAAACGACCTTTCATGTGTCAAGGTCAACCAGAGGTCATTCGAGGTCACATGAGGTCAACATAAAACTTGACCTTTTCCGATCAAAATATATATCATTCGACGCGGCTTGACAAGGCGAATGCGATGGTACCACTGCCGTAGCTCTAGGGCCATTTTTGTCGAAGTTATTTGCGAAAAACTAAAACCACATTTTGGGGTCGTTGACCTGACCTCTGACCTCAGGTCACCAAAACTATTTTTGTATTTTTCTCTAGGTCAAACGCTACACAACCGTGCTCGTAATTTGTCTTTATCTCTAAAACTCTATTTTTAGCAGCTATTTGAAGTTTGCGTCTGTGACGCCGAAGTTTGCCGTGCAGGGGTCTAGAAAAATGGACCTTGTGACGTCATCAAGGGGGCTAGGTCCAAATTTTTTACTTCAGGAGATGTCAAATTGATGGGAGAAAAGGTACTGAAAGTTTCGCTTTCCTATCCCTAAGCGTTCGGGAGCTATCGCAAATATTCGCCAGGGGGGGCGAAAAACGCCCCCCCCGGGCCCGCGAGGGTTAAGCCCGGAGAACGACCGCTCCGGTTGTTTTTCAATAGAAAAACACAATTCTAACGAATAGTGTTTGTCTTTTCAAACAACCTGCGGTTAACACCTTTTTATCGTATCTGTATCAACAGGCGATGAACGAGCTGGTAACGGAGCTGGAGGCGAACAACGTCACGCTGCTGGCCACGGTCACACTGGACGCCAACGACTACCGGGAGCAGCTGAACTCGCTAAAGGTAACATTGACCTGACCTGACCTGACCTGACGTGGCCTGACCTCAGCTGACTGACCTGACCTGACCTGGCTTAGCTACGCCTGGCTGTTATAATTGACGAACGTGTTTGGATTCAAATGGCGTCCTTTTTCACGAATTAATGGCTGTTGAAGACATTTACAAGACACAAGGCATTTATCGTGTATCTATGGGCATGCAATACATGCATTGATGATTCTCAAATATCCTGCAATTGAAGCCTAAAGGAGCCAAGCCAATGAAGAGGCCGACTCTCGCTGAAGTACCGCGAGAAGCTCTTCCTCTTTCGCCTCGTCCCCGCGGGCTATCTGTCGATCGTTAATGCTTTAAATTAGATTGCCTACTCTCGACGGAGACCGTTGAATATGAAACGAGGGTCGACCGGCACGACCCCCGAGGCACGGCACGGGAACGGGATGGGCGACGGGGTCGAGCGGAGAGTCGACCTGGAGAAATATCGCTCACCACCTACATAGCTACCGCAGCATAAGAGGGTATGCCGGACTCTAAGGGTCTGTCCTTTCGCTGAAACTGCAAGGCACGCCTTAGCTGTCAGAAAATCTACCGAATACCGTCTTTTCTTCGCTGGCACCAGCTGGCATTCCGTCGGCCGCGCCCCGTACTGTTGATATAAGCTTATAACGAATGCCACGACCTTGATCTTTCTCCGATATTTGTTTTCAATGGCGGCTCTCTTTCCCCGGCACTCCCGCTCTCCTCTGCCTCTCTCGTTTTCCCTCTCGTCACAGCTCTTTCCGTCTCCTGTACCACTCCACGATCGCTCGGTTGCGGAAACACGCTGAGTCTGCAGCTCTCGTATCCAACTGCGGGAGGTCTCCGCAGAATTTTGCCTCAGCTACTCTCTCTCTCTCTCTCTCTCTCTCTCTCTCTCTCTCTCTCTCTCTCTCTCTCTCTCTCTCTCTCTCTCTCTCTCTCTCTCTCTCTCCTTCCCATCTCTCTCCCTCTATCTTCCTCAGTCCCTCCGTCTATCTTCCTCCCTCTCTTTCTTTTCTCTCTCTCTCTCTCTCTCTCTCTCTCTCTCTCTCTCTCTCTCTCTCTCTCTCTCTCTCTCTCTCTCTCTCTCTCTCTCTCTCTCTCTCTCTCTCACTTCCCCTGTCTCTCTCTTACTCTTCCTTACGCTTTTCTCTGGCTACAAGCCATCTAACTGCATAGGCGGCGGAACGGGGAGGGCACCGGGGCACCGTGCCCTCCTTGCACCGTGCCCTCCTTTGATTTTGGCATTTTAATATAAGCCCTATGGGCCTTGCATGGAAAGAATGTGACCAAAAGTCGGCAGTGTCCCCCTTAATTGAAAGTGTTCCGCCGCTACTGTCTAAATGAATTATTGCCAAGAAGACCACGTGCTAAAATCTTCGTCAGTCATTGAGATTTTCATCAATCATCTGTCAGTAAGTCATCAGTTGAAATATCAGTCAACATTTCATTTTAAAATGTTATGATAAACGCATTTACTTAACCCTCGCCGGCACAGGGGTGGGGGTGGGGGGTTGATGCAACCCCCCCTAAGGTTTTTAGCAAATAACTCGCGTAAAAAGCGGCCGATCGCAACGAAACTTTCAGTTCCCTCGCATTGATCAATTTGACACCTACCCTGAAAATTTCATGATCCTGACCCAAATGACCTTTGACCTGTGACCTCTTTTCCGTGACCATGTTTGGCCGAAATCGCCATTGGGCGTATGTCGGCTCGCATTAGCCGCGCGTTTGCTTGCTTTTCGTGGTTTCAAACGATCAAACATGTGATTTGATGTTGCTCCCATACATTAGGGTGGGTGTCAAGGTCACCTGAAGGTCAGGTCAGGTCATTGACCTTTGGTGACCTCGGGTGACCTCGGTTCACTTTTTCGAGTTTTACATGTTTCTAGGCTAGTTGTTGGAGCTGAATTCGAATTTAGCAACCATTTGAACATTTACGAAGTAGTTTTGGTGCCTTCGTAACATGTTACGAAGCTGTCAGAGGCGGTTGACACGTATTACGAATACCCGTCACAGCCCCTACCGGTTGACCTGACTTGACCTGACCCGACCTGGTCTAAATGCTTAAAAACATCATCTCTGATCAAAACCAACACGATATTCGTGATCGGCACCCCGGAAAACCACATAGCAGCCACACTTTACGACTTCTAACAGGTCCCGATTTTCCCGGTTTTCGGGTCATTGACCTGACCTGGAAGGTCACCGATGACCTAGGACCTTACACTTGGGTATCATCGGCTTCCTCTCGTGACGGGCAACACGCTCGTTCTTTCCGCGAAGCTCTAGCTCGATCAGGGGCCAAACGCGAGGGGGGTCGTACCAACCCCCCCCCCCCTTGTGCCGTCGAAGGACGCAAAATGGCCTGTGCCGGCGAGGGTTAAGCTCACACTTAACCATGATTGATTCTTCCAAATCACGAACAACTCACTTTCATCTTCATGCTGTCACGCTGACACTAACAGTAACAACCCTCCTCCCTGCCCCACTCCCCTACCCCGTCACCACCTGGGGCTGGTTGCTGGTTAGTATTCCGATGGACGCAGTGCCTCCAAGCCAAGTCAACAAGCAGCTATGGTACTGAGTTTGTCGGCACATGTATCCATACAGTGGCCCTCGCAAAAGTGACGTTGCAAAAAAGGATAACTAAAAGAGGACCGGAGCCTGGTTGAATCCAAAAATGGTTTATGCGTCCGCAGATCTATTTAGTTTGAACGGCTTTGTTCATGAGCAGTGAAAAATGGGATAAACTGAATTTAGATAATTCAATATGCACAATGAATGGATCGAACAATATGCCAATTATAGCAATGCAACTAACAAACTTATGTTTCTTTTGTAACATATTAGAAGCTAAATAACAATTGTTATAAAACAAAGAGATAAAAAGGCCCGGACTTACCAACAGATATTGAGCCATCGCGCCGGTATGGATCCACTTAAAGCATGTACTGGTGTGACATTTAGCTGTAGAGTGTAGATTGATGCATTGTCGCCGTTTTGCCTGGTCCGATTTTTGCTAAGCGTCGCGTACATCCGCTGTCCGCGGCTGTAGAGCTCCGTCTGCTTTGGACGCGTCCCGCTGGACTCGGCAGCATGCCTACGCAGCGAAAATCGGCCCCACAACGCTGCGTGAGTGGCTGAAAGAAAACCGATGATTCAGTCAGCTCGACGAAAACGTCTCATCAGCGTTCACAAATGCCTACCGATGATCGAAAGTTAGCTGGAGTGGGCCCGAGGGCATCACTTGGTTCCAAATAGCTGCACTTATGTGTGCGCTGGCTAAATCGTATGCATTTCCGATGGATGAACATTGTGGGTATTTCAGTTGATCTTCCTGCACTAAACGTCTGGAAGATGTCTGTGACATTCACATGTGACATACACACATAAACCATTAACTACGAGCGATATTAACCACAGTCCACAACTGTATACATTACAAACTATGCATATTTTATTTCTTTCATTGATTGAGATGTCTTTCGAGCTTTTATAGCTGTTTTCGAACGATCACCGGATCGTTTCTCTCACAAAAAAAAATTATTCTCGTCACCCTCTGTCGCCACCCGCTTTTGAATGGGAGTTATTTCAAGGCTTGCAATACCAGTCAATACCAAAACGATGCCTCTGCCTTTGTTTCAGGATCGAGACGTTCGGATCATCATTGGCAGCTTTTCCACAGCGATGACGGGCAAAATATTTTGCGAGGTATGTGTTTTTGTCTTATTGATATCTTATTAAGAAAATCAAGCATGCCACAACCTATTATATAGAAGTAAATATCCACATTCAATTTACCTCTGTACAGGAAAACAAAGGTCTATGCCACGTAATACCGATTATAAGTTATAACACAGTTATAGGAAATGGCAAAAGCTTCCTAATCGCTATTGATTGGTAGGTAATGATTGGTACGTAAATGTGAAATGGCACCAATTCCAAAGTATATGATTCGACGTTTTTTAGAACTGTCATTCCTTTTCAGTTCAACTCAACCCTCGCGGGGCTGGGGTCTCCAGCCGAACGCGCGGGGCTGGGGGGGGTAAATTTTACCCCCCTGTTATCTCCCGAACTAATGGTCCGATTTGGAAAAATCAAACGCCAATCGAAAGATCTCATCACGAACAACTAAAAACATGTACTTAATTTAAAGTTTGAGGTCAAGGTCAAGGTCAGGTCAAGGGTACAAATTGCAAGTTTCTACAGTATCGGCCTTGCACCGTAGTTGCCGAAGAATGGAGTCATCGACTGAGACTGATTGCCCAAAACGTGTTCTTAGGCAACCAAAACAATATTCGTTGCATACAATATCATCCAGAGGTCAAGGTCAAGGTCAGGTCAGGTCAGGTCAGGTCAGGTCACCAAAAAACAAAATATAGAAAAGGGCATGTGCGACACATGTGTTATGGGTCATTTTACTCATAGAATTCAATAGGCACACTCAATAAGTGATATAGACCACCTCTGGATGAATTTCAGGTCGAGGTCAGGTCAAGGTCAGGTCAAGTGAGGTCAAATTTTGAAGTTGGTTGTTAAGGCCTAAAAAGGTATCTATCTGATGCAGTTTTTTTCACGGCGAATCGAATGGTGCTATTTTTGTTTCCGTACGAGGTCTAGAACTTCTAAAAAAATCATTTTTCAAAATTTTTGTGTGTCGTGACGTCATAAAATCTTGAATAACTCCCACATTTTTGAACCGATTCTTCTAAAAATTGGTATGTAGGTGCACATAGACCACTGTTCTGACATATATTTCGGTTTTTTCGATACACTCAAAATTTTGAATTTTATAATTATTTTCCCAAAAAAAGTCAGTTTTTTTAAATGTGGGCCAAAATCCAAAATTTTCAAAAAACCGAGATTGCCATTTGATAGTCAAAGTAGGATTACGTATAACCTTTTTTGTTACGTCTGGATTCCTTTAAAAATGAAGATGTTAGCGGCGTTTGAAATTTTGCCGTTTTTCAGGCGAAAATGGCGAACATGACGTCACTAAAACGTCAATTTCTCAAAAATTTTCCGACGGATTTCGCTCAAATTTTCAGGGAACATGTCAAATTGCTGTAAGAAAAGGTACTGAAAGATTGGCGGCGCTGCGCGCCGCCGTTTTTGAGATATTGCAAAAATTCGCGAGGGGGGGGGGGTAAAATTTACCACCCCCCCAGCCCCGCGCGGGTTAAGTGAATGAAATGAAAAGCATTTGAATAAAGGGGATCTGAAAAAGATCAGCCCTAATTAATAGCGCTGGGACAGTTGTGTGCAGACTGCAGAGCTTACCTGTCCAGCGCCCACTGTTGGTCCCTCTCTGATTCACCTGGGGTAGTCCGATGGTCGCAGCGGCTTTCTTATGCCACAGGGGGAGCCCCAGTGGGCTAATCAGCCTCCACTGCGGAGCGGAACGGGCGCGGACGCCGGAAAAATACCAGCCGCCGGCCGGCTAACAAGGCGCCGCCGGCACTGGCTGTTTCCGATTTCACGGTATCGGGACTTTGTGCGCCCGAAATGTCGGCGAACGCGACGGGAAACCCGCCGGCCACCAACAACACTTTGTCTTCAATGGGCAAACACGTATCGATCGTGGGTGGGTCTCGGCGCGGTGAAAATAGCCACACACAAAGGGGTCTCTTTGGTCTCAGGAGAATAGCGGAAAACGGACGGATGATGACATACAAACTCTTTGAAACGTCTAAGCTGCATTCGGTGTCAAATTTGTTGACGCAGCGGAAGGGGTGGAGTGGCTTACACGGCACTAGTGAATATTTGGAAAGGTGAAAGGGTGCCAAAAATCAGCATCGCAGTCCTATGAGGATCTTGAGGTGTATACTCGTATAGGCGTCTTCCGCGGCAACAAGTGCTGAAGATCGTTTACAGTCTTATCGGTAAATGATTCAAATTGTGCTGGCATGCACCTGTCCTTTCATGCATGACATGCTGGAGACTAACGTCAGGCACATGGGAAACTCGACCCGCGAATCGTGATGACGATACGCAGCACTCCACTGAACCAGCAGTCACAGTGCAGTCCCTATATCCTCTGTGGCGGTGCCGGTTCAGCGTTTTCTTCTGTCGCCTTCGTTTCGCGACGGCTCGTAACCCGCACCTGACCGACGAGTCTGAGACAGCACTCACTGGCTGACCCCTCCGACCTACGCCAAGCCTCGGCGGCTCTTGTGACACGAATCTGTCCCAGAGCCATAAACAGAACTTGGAACAACGGCAGCCTGCGAACAGAGATACGCCGCCGTGAGTTGACGTCAACACACTGGGACGTTCAGTAAATTAGATAACTTCGCAGCCGTTTGCTGCAGCTTTGAATTCACGTGATGAATGATGATGCAGGCATGATGATGGATGGGCTCATAATAAGAACTCGAATGTTTTGCTCACGAGTTCAGTTTTAAACTTTTGACGGTTCTTCAAGGTAAGAATAGAGAAAACTGTTTGTCGTGAGAAAGCTACAAACAAGAAATGTTTTGACATATTTTGACGCTCTTATTTCTTGGCAGCAGTGCAATAATTTATGGGCAAAATATTCGCCATCTGTCGCCATTTTGATTTCTGGCTTTACCTAATGCTATTTGTGAGAAATGTTGAGCCATCGACATCCGAGATCACTCCTCAGGCCACACATCACACACACCACAGACGATACCCGTTCCGTGCACGCCCCCCCCCTCTCCACGGTGACCCCTCCCCGCCCCTGGCCGGCTCGTCAGGAAGTTGCGAGCGGCCGGTGCCATTGGGCCCGATTGGCTACCGGTCGGCGCCGTCGGCGGCGGCCAATTCGGCGCAGACAGCGCCAATATCGTCCGTCCGCCGCCGGTCCGATGACGGCCACCTGAGCTGCCGGGGGGGGGGGGTCACAAGGGGGGGGGGTTCTGCCACTGGGCCCTGACACCAGACGGGGGTAAGGGTGGGGGACGAGTGAACGGGCAGAGATCGCCACCGGCTTTAGGAGGGAAAGGAAGGTGACATCTCAATTGATAAACGTGTCGGTTTGGAAAATTCGGATCACTATAGACTAAAATTGGCCTGAAAAGAAACAGTGGTGCACCTCGCTGTCCACGCCTCTTCACCATGCCATCGTCAATTTGAAGACCTCTTCATTTTTCCATCGACGGCAGGTGGTTAGAGACGGAAACAGGAGACTGAGCTAAATCCATTGGCTCGCTCCGAGTTCAATCCCGCCTTCTATCGTGCGGAACCACGCAGTCATCAGAAAGATGAATGCTGGCACGGAAGCGCGTGAGCAAAAACCGCGACACCACCTAATGAAACTGCCGGTCATCCGTCACCTTTTTACCAGCCGTGACTTGCAGGCCACATTGAACATTGAACATTGAACAACGCACTGTGTGAATGAATGGACGCTACAACATAGGCACGATTGAGTCGAACTTCTTGCTGAACTGGAAAAGAAACATTTGTTCTAATGAATCCGGGATGGATATTGGATAGCTGCCTGGTGCTTATGTTGGCCTGTGGTTTGTAATAAGATTTGTCAATATTTCTGCGTGAAAACTGGATGAAGGTATAATTCATGTTTATGACGGGATAGCGTGTCCGAGTTGGTAACGGACAAAAGGAACTAAGCCGTTGCGACTAAGTGAATTGGCTTACCATGTCACTTAGCAGATTGCCAGAGGTCCAACAAACAGATTTGGACGAGGCTGGCTGGTCTATTCAGAGTTTCCAAGGTTTCAGATTATATGAGAGCATTTCCGTTATGTGAGAACATTTTCTGATCATGTCACAAATTCTATAGTTGAATGCTTATTTTCCACGGTTGTCATTTGATATGATATGAGATGCTATATCATGTCACCTTCATCTCATTCGAGCTCCCTATTCATTTTTCACAGAAGATTTGAAATGAGTATGTATATGGCATACTCATTTCAAATTGCAGGTCAGCCATAGGTAGATACTGGCTGGTGTTTCCTTTTAAAGGCACGTTTCATCATGCTGAAATATTTGCAAACACATTACTTTGTGTTGGTATAGGCTGAATGGTGTGCGTGCATGTGCTTTTAGGGAAGACCGAACATGAATAATCATAAGCAATATCAATTCGTCTTTCTTTGTTTCTTTGCTTATTTATTTATTTCATAATGGATGCCGTCGCAACAGTCTGACAGGAGCCAATAATCATCTGTCTGTACCCTGACGCTGTATCTGGTTCCGCGTCGGCTGTTTGACTTTGATATTGATTATGTTGTCTGTGTTGCTCCGACACCGACCAGTGACTTTAACCCTCGCCGGCCGAGGGGGGGGGGGCGGGTGCCGCCCCCCCCATAGGGTTTTTTCGCGATAGCTCCGAACACGCTGGCGATAGAGAGCTGAAACTTGGCATACCTGACCTTTGATCCAAGCCGCATCTTTTGACACCAACCGCATTTTTGGGTCAGGTCAGGTCACTAACCTATGACGTCATAAGTGAACCTCTGCACGGTCTTCAGATGTCGCAACTTCGCAACGCCCTCACTGCCAGAGGAGATGTCACAGGGATATGAAACTTGCAGGATCTAGTATCCATTATGAGTCCCACAACTTTTATATCTCGGATTTTTCATAAAGGTCATATGAGGTCAGGTCATTTTCGTGACCTCACCATTATAAGTCAATGGGGAAAAATGAAAGCTGCTATTCTGGCGCCGGGAACGATCTCCAACTATCTCAAGCACACAGAATCGTGATTTTATGCACTCCTTGCAAGGTTAGATGCGTCACTTTTGCAATGTTGACCTTGCGTGACGTCAGTTATGACGTCATCAAGGTCATATTCGTTTTTCGTCAATAACTCTTGATCAAATTGAGCTAGCGAGTCGGGAAAGCCACCAATGGACTCAGGAAGACCTGCCGAATCGAATGATATGCGACATGACCTCTTTCGACCAACTTCGTGACGTGGGGGTGCTGACCTGACCTTGACCTGAGGTCAACATCCCAAGTTGACCTGACCCGGACAAAAAGTATATCATTCGACGCGCCTGAGCGAGACGAACACGATGCTGCCAAAATCGGCGCTCTGCGGCCGTTTTTTGCGAAGTTATTCACCAAAAACTGAACCGTACCTTTGGGCACTTGACCTGACCTCAGAGGTCACCGGTTGACCTAGGACCTTAAAATCGGGTACCAATCTCTGCGTCTCGTAACGGCGCACACGTTCGTTTTTTCCGCGACGCGCTAGCTCCACCAGGGGCGAAACGGCGGGGGGGGGGTCGTACCCGCCCCCCCCCCCTCGGCCGGCGCGTATGTAGAAAACCAACAGGTCCGGCGAGGGTTAAATCCGTGTCATTATCATTACGCCTGCTCTGGTCATGTCTCTGGTTCTTTCTCGCCGTTCGGACTGTGTTTCCGTTACGGGTCTTTGTTATGTCCTTAGTAAGACTGATTCAAACATTTGGCTGCGTGTCAGATTCTGCTTCCGTGTCAGAATGGTCTGATTTTGTCTCAGGCCCGTTTCTTGTCTGCCACTGGCCCTTAGGTTAGGTGTCTGAGGTGTCTGCATTCACTCAGACTCCCTGCCTCCGTGCCGGGGGCTCCCTCCCTCCTCAGGCGTACCGTCTGGGGATGTTCGGTGCCGACTACGTCTGGCTGCTGTACGGCAGCACCTCGGAACGCTGGTGGCTGCGGCAGCCGCCGGACGGCTGTCGGGCGGCCGAGATGAGAGCTGCCGCAGCTCACCTGCTGCTGGTGGACAGCTTCAGCGAGACCCGGCCGGGAGCCCGACCCGCCTCCGGACTGGTAAGGAAGCGGGGGCGAGAGGGAACGAGAGGGAGCCAGGCCCGTGCCTCGGGACTAGTGAGAAAGAGGAAGGGAGGGAGGGAATATAATTAGATTAAGGAGAGGAAAGGCTGAAAGGATGACGAAGAGAGGAAGAGGAGAAAAGGGAAAATAAGTAGAGTGGAATGGAAAGAAACAGGAATAAAGAACGCATGGAGGACGACAGAACAAATAAAGATGAGTGAAAAAGTAAACGAAAGGCAGATAAAGAGAATAGAAAGAGGGAGAGAGGGAGACAGAGAGGGAGAGAGAGAGAGCGAGAGAGAGAGAGCGAGAGAGAGAGAGAGCGAGAGAGAGAGAAAGAGAGAGAGAGAGAGAGAGAGAGAGAGGGGGGGAGAGAGAGAGATGCAGAACAGCCACCTTCTGACTGCCGAGACCGATGACTGGGGGTGGCATGGCAGAGTGGGGGAGGGGAGAGGGGTCGGCGAGAGGAGTCGGAAGTGGCGCCGACAATGCAGCCGGCGGCGTCGGCCAGATGGCGGGAAGATAGAGCAGCTGGCGCCGGGCCGGCAGGTATTGTGATCTCCGGTCAGGGATGGGAGGTCAGAGAGCCACCGGCGCTCCCACATCCATACGCACTCTGACACGACCCGCCAGCTCCAGCTGACGACTCCGTGTCCATGGACGACCTGAGAAGGAGAGGGGAGGTCGGCAGTGTCTACGGACCGGTCAGTACCTCTGCAGTGCACTTAGGGGGAGGGACTGCAGCGAAGGCCTTTAGATGTGGAATGAGGCTGGCAGAGAACAGCGAATCGGCGACCCGTGAGCAGCTAGAAGACGGAGTCCTCAGCAGAATTCTGACAAATATATTTGGCTAATAAGCCGACCTTGCAGTTTAGGGAGTTGAAATTAATTAGTAAGATTCTCTTATTGAGTCTTATGGCTTGGTGGCTTGATAAGATCAGGAAGGCAACAGTTAAAAATATTTGTCGCAGACTGAAAATGATAATTTTATGAGCAATCAGCGAATTTCCACTGAAAATGCCGGGCCACAAATTTGAAACCGAGATTTGACGATGCAGACACGACTCAGATATGAGTGGAGCACGAAAGGGCAGAAAGATCTGCAAAAACCGTAAAAATGCCCGTTCGTACCCGGCAACTGCAGCAGGGAATGGTGTGACAAACCGTTGGTGCCGAGACGACGCACATCCTGTCCAGTGGATGGCGATAACATGAAGACGAATGTGCCTTTCAGGCGAGGGACGGTCCAATGGCGTTGATGCGAGTCTGACGAATGGAAACACATTCAATTCCCAGTTCGGGAACCTGCATGAGTCAGTCAGACGAACAGCTAGTCATTCAGTTAGTTACTCAGTTAGCGGGACTACTTAAGCCAGTCATTTAGTCATCTAAGCTGTACATAAGTCAGTCATCCAGCCAACCTGTCATCAGATAACTAAATGAGTCATTGATTGGCTAACTGAGTTTACTAGCATATATAATTGTATAATCATTTACCAGTATACCGACAATTCGGCACCAATAGAATCGCGCTAGATATCTGGACCCGGTATCGTATCGCCGCTGTCGGAGCATCTGCTGGGATCGTGCCAGGACTACGGGACGCCGCGCCAGGCTGTTGGGCCGCGGCCTCGGAGATGAGGTGCCCGGGTGATCAGATTGGGTGTCAGTCGCGGTGTGGCGTTACACCCGGTTCTGGTGTCTCGCCGGTCCGCCGGGACCCTGATCGGATAGTCGGGGAGGTAGCGCGGGGAACGACGAGGCTTTTCCCTGAACATGCCGAACGAGGGCTTCACCCGATATCTGCAGGGAAGCTTTTTCCATTCATATGTTCCGGAGTCTGCTGCTTTACATGGTAGCCGTACAATATTTCGATAGGATGCGGAATATCTAGGATAAAAAGCTGTCACGCGCTAAAGCCCCGTAAACGAACTTTGATCCCATGAATATACGCCATCATATTAACTGAATGTTCTAGGATTTCTGTCGTGAAAATTGTTTTGCTAGTGTCTAGACTCACAGCAACGCATATCAACAACTTCAAAGGCTTCGCCGAACAAAAGAGGCGGTCTAGCATGGTTAGATGCTTTCTGGGTCTCGTTTGAGCCGTATGTATTATACACATATTTTTCGTTTGCTAGAATTGTTTAACAAAAAGCAAGCCGCAGTATGCATGATGAATCTGAGTAGTAAAAGGCAGTATTTCCACAGGCTTGGATTTCACCCTTTCGAACATGTAGAAGTGAATGTTATAACCATTTTTAGTTCAGCATTTTAATATCACAAAATTTCACATAATTTTCTCCTGATCTCATGCCTTGGTTTTGCTTTGGCTTCGTTGTGTTTACCTACCACTGTTGCTGAGAGAGACACGACTGTCCTGTCGCCGCTAGCTTGGCGTGTCTCATATCCGCTGTGCCGTCAACTGCCGCCGGTCGGACCCATCGGCTCTTGTCGGTGTTATTTCATGGCCAACATGCCACCCACCGAAAGGCGCCGACAGTCGAGTCATCGACATTGTGTGCTCGGCTGTCATGGAGACAAACCCAGTGGCTCGAAGACAAACTCGGGTCACTCGGGCCGTGCCACAATGAGGCGCCAGGCGGCCATCGCCCGTCCAAGAAGCTCAGACGGCAGCCGAGCATTGCGGCACAGCATGCTGGTGGGTGATCTTGCTGCCATCTAGGGACTAGGATCTAAAACAGAGTATGGGGACCGAAGGACGTTTGTCAGTCGTGGCCATTACGTCTGCTTCTCAGACATTTTTTTTCAAAGCAAATGCATTTCTGAAAATCAATTCACATACTTATATGAGGCGGTGCTCGGCAAAAGTACTAGCGAAAAAATGACATGCTTGCCTATAGGTAGGTACTCTAAATTATGATCGTAGGTAAGTAGGTACCTTTTTCTGATGCTGATATCATATCATAGAGCTTCAACATCCGGTCTTGTATTTATTCATCACATTTTACCCTAACATAACCCTGAATATAGGTAGTTCTCTGGGCCATGTATTCAGTGCAGGTCTTGTCCCGCTCTGCGAGCACCACTCCATACGCTGCCCATACTTAGCGGACCTCTGGGAGTCGACACTGACCAATGACCGGCGCATAATCCGGCCGGGGGAGGCCGACCGCGGCGACCATCGGTTGCCAGGCTCGTCGCCCCGCCGGCGGTCACCCGGGTCGTTTATCTCGGCGGCTGCTGACACGGACTGCCGTGTCTGTGATGACGTCACTGGGGCGTTTACCGGCGCTCAGTGCAGCCGGCCGGACCGACCCCTGCCGGAGGGTGTCAGCCGGCGGGATCGATGGTGTCGCTGTCATTTTTGCGGAGACTATTTCCTATACGGCACAACCGGAAATGAGCCGGACGGTAGTTGTGGCGAGGCGTGTAATTAACAGGCAAATGATATGCGTACGACCTTGTTAAGTTAGATTGGATATGCCCTGCATCGTTTATCATTGCGGTCTTTAAAATGCACATTTTGCAAGATGGTTGCGCCGCCGCCATTTTATGTCTTCTAGGTTCTCAGTTAATTTTGAGTTGCTATGACGTTACTGGTAGGTACCTAAGCTTATTTTACCTTAAAGTATCGCCTTAAAAAAAAAATCAAAGAAAAATGACAAAGTCATGCTGACCTATCTAATTATGTATCTTGCTGCTTCAAACCAGACATGTATTTCAAGGCCGTTCATGTCTCGGTAAGAGTACTTCTAGGTTCTACAACCTCTACACTTAAAAGAGCGTCCAGTGCTCACTGCTAGTTGCAGTGTAACTGTCCCTCCCTGTCCTAACTCCCTGTCCCTCCCTCCCTGTATGTGTGTTGCAGAGTTCGGCGGCGTTCCGGCGCGCGCTGCAGCTGCGTGGTGTACCCATCACCCGTACCGCCTCCCTGGCTTACGACGCGCTCTGGAGCGTGGCGCTAGCTCTGCGGGCCACCCAGCGTCGCTGGAGGGCCCGCGGGGAGCGGCGGGCTCTCCACCGCTTCGACTACAGCCACGCCGGCACGGCTGCCGACCTGTTCAGCGCCACACAGCGACTCAACTTCACCGGCGTCTCGGTGAGTATAAGGAGAGGCCCAAGGCCCTATATACTGAGAGGCCACCCAGCAGTCCTGGAGACGACCCAGGGCGGTGGGCACCCAATGTCTGCAGAGCTATATTGGTCTCCGTTAGGCTGGAGATAGTCCACTCCCGAGCACCCTGGAACATGACATTGGCCACAAACGGTAACTCACAATCAGAATTCGGTAGATACTTGATCGGCAGCAAAACCTGTTTGAAATGCCGATTGGCTGATTCTGATCTTTGCCTTCCGTGCATGACTTTTTGCATGGCTAGAAAATTGCCAATCATATAAACACTACCGCATACTGGTATTCCCCATTGTTTCCCAGTGCCTACCAATGCATCCACTCAACTCTGGTTGTCTGTCCCCAGCCACAGGTAGTGTCCACTCACTACTCAGTATCATACCTGCCTGACCCCAGCCACAATGGATATCCTCTCAGTACCCTGTCTGCCCGACCCCAGCCACCATATCCACTTAGCCGGGCACTCCGGCCGGAGCCGCAGCTGGCCTGTTGACCTCCATGGCGCCAGTTTCAGTCGGTCGAGCCGTGACCCAGGTAGAGGCGGGAAATGGCGCGACGCCGGCCCGAATTGGCGCGAACAATAGCCGGCGTCAGCGGCGGTAAGCCGCACCAATGGAGGCCACCGAGCGAATTAGATGAGTTCGGTCCGTTGCCTCTGTGGCTCGGCAGGGGCGGATCCAGAAAATCTCCAAGGGAGGGGCCATTAGAAACCAGGAGGCCCCCATAATCCCACCTGTTGGAGGCCCCATCTTCCCACTTGTTGGCCCCCCCCCCCCAAAAAAAAACTGCGTCTATTGAGCTTATCTAGCTGTTCAGGCAACATCTCAACATGAATAGCCACTTTAATTTCAGGAGGCCCCCTTTTCAGCTTTTTAACTTTTTATTTTATTTTTGAAAAAAATCGGCCAAGGGGGGGGGGGGGCATGGCCCCCATGGCCCCCCCTTGTATCCGCGCCTGTGGCTCGGTGACCGTGTGGAAAACGACAGAGCGCGGAGAGGATCGAGATGGTCCCAGGGGCGTACCTGCTGACCTGACCTCCCAATGTCACTTCCCCGATCCCTCCCTAACGTTGGGATGAAAGGCCCGTAGAGTAGCGACATGATACTGTGCGGCCTGCACCTATCCTCTCAACGATACTGAGGACCTTCCTAACTGTGAGGTGATGTACTTTTTACGGAGCAAAATATTTAGGAGAATACAGCTGCTCTTTGCCCCAAAGTACCTACCTACAGGTCTTACAGCCAGAACTTTCGTACGGTTCTGCTCTCGATGAGAAACCGGCCAAGCTCACCCTGAAGGCATTGAATTTTCATAGGGACATAAAAGGGAATGGCACACTGGGGTCTTCTGATTCTTTGAGGATCTTATTTTCCCTCAATAAACATTATCTGAGTGCCTTTTGACCTCTCCCGAGGCCGATCCTCTCGCTGAAGCATCGCCGTATGAGTTTCCTTTATGACGTCTTGCATGACACGTATGACTACACAGTCTGCGAGGTCCCCCAGATGATACCTGAGCTTTCAGTTACATCAATTTATGGCAATGTTACCATGCACTGGCTCACACGGACTCATCACATCACTATATCAGTCAGTAAACTGTGAGGCCACCAAACGGCAAAAGGTCAGGTCAGGGTTTTTCGGTCAATTTAACCTGCGATGAACGCTGTTTCCGGAACGCTCAGCCAGACAAAAGAACTCGCTGCTGGCAGGCGGGAGGTGGAACGGTTTACGGGTCGGGAATACCTAATGTGTCTGCGTGTTTACGGGATACGGGCGGGGGAGGAAGGTCATGGCTTTGGTGCCGAAAGCAGGCGGTTTGAAGAGGCCAACTGTTGTGATGGGGAGGTCTGGGAAGTCAGCTTGCAGTTGGGGAGGTCAGCTCCAGTGCCGGCAGGAAGATGAGCTGGAAATAAGAAATGACCATTTTCCTTCTGTCTATCTTCTGTCTATCTAGTTTTTTGCCCAACCTTTGATCGACGTAGACAGTGTACGTAAATAAGTATCAAGTACACTTTTGAGTTTTGACTGTGAAGCAGTCGTCAAAATGCAACTTGCTCTATGAGCTGCCTGATAAATGTTCATTTTAATCCAACAAGGTTCCTGTCTCCTGATCAAATCCGCATTCATGCCTGTAGCTCAGGAGCATCAATACCATCCGTGCCTTCTCAGTATCTGATCATGATTAGCCGTCTTCCATGGCTTATTATGAGCACCTATCTCCGTTGAACATTGTCCATGATAAGCTGCCTATTCAATGCTTTCTTTTCATAGAGAGATAGCTGAATTGAAGCAGTAAGTGGACGGGAGCTGCAGATCGATCCCATCTTTTCTCTTTGTTCCAGGGGCCAGTGAGTTTCGACGGCGCTGACCGGCGCGGTCTGACGGCCTTCTACCAGCTTCAAGGTGAGATAGCGGGGCTTTCGGGAACATGAACAGACAATGGAGCACCCCGGACGGAGTCGATAGTGACCTCTCTGACAGCGGTTTCCCGTGGATATGAGCATTTGTTCGGTTATATCGTATCGCTCATAAGCGTAGGAACCATGGGTGCAAGGGTGCAGCTGCACCCACAATATTTATCCAGTGGGTGCAGACAATGTATTCTGCACCCACAATAATCTGAACCAAAAACCCCTTTTTCATCAACACTACTTCCCATGCAGCACGGCAAATTCAGGATATGTTGCCTACTATTCATCTTTCGAAGCATTTGCTACTGTGATCAGTGATGGTCTTCAAAACTTACATTTGTGCTGAAAAAGGGAAATGGAGCATGTGATTGAACACATACCGAACCGATGACCCACTGTCAAAAATTTTAGCCCGATATCTTCGAAAATGGCTAAGTTGGCCGCTTTTACTTTTTGCGGTAGTCAATATTGACAATATTAGCCCTCGAATGTGTGCAGCGTTTTCCAGCTTCTAATGTGTAGGGGGAGGGGGAGGGGGTCGGTCGGACCCCCTGCCGTTCGGCCCCTGATCGAGCTAGAGCTTCGCGGAAAAAACGAGGGTGTTGCCCGTGACGAGAGGAAGCCGATGATACCCAATTTGAAGGTCCTACTTCATTGGTTGACCTTCCAGGTCAGGTCAATATTCCAAAAGTCGGGAAAATCGGGACCTGCTAGAACTGCGTAAAGTGAAGCTGTTACCGGTTTTTTCGGGGTGCTGATCACAAATACAGGGTGTCCAGAAAAAAAAGATACTACGGAAATTAAGTCGCATTTATTAACGCACGTGCCGATTTTTTTTTCAACTTCATGTGCTTATAGTGCAAGATTTGGCAAAACTCATGAGCACTGTAATGCGTCGTTGGAAAGTTGTCTGTCTGCCCTCCGAGAGGGTCAACATGACCATCAGTCACCTGCCGACCGTGCTAGTGCTGGAGCTGATCCGCCGGAAGGCCGCTCACATTGAGTATCTGCTTTGAGGAGCTGCCGCGACTAACCAAAGGGTTTACATGCCATGTGGAACCTGCTGTCTGTTTTGCCATATTTTTGCGAATACAAGCATGTGCCATTTTAAAATGTGCGGTGTTTATTTTCGGAATTACAGCAAAAAATAGTAGTATCCGTTTTTTCTGGACACCCTGTATCTGATGTTAGTTTTGATCACAGATGATTTCTTCATGCATTTAGGCCAGATCGAGTCAGGTCAGGTCAGGTCAACCATTAGGCGTCCTACCGGCTATCCATAGTAGGTGTCAACTACCACTGACGGCGTCGTAGCATGTCACGAAAGCACTAAAACTACTTCGTAAACGTTCAAATGGATGCTAAATTCGAAATCAGCCCTATAATTATCCCTCGCCCGTAAACGGCGATCTGCCACCTTCGCCCATGCAGGGGGCGAAGGTGCGACCCCCCCCCTTGGCGTTTGAAAACGGAGCGTCGTAGAGCTTAGCGGAAAAGACCAACGGATTGCTCTCGCCGAGATCTCGCGATTGGTGGTATATTTTTTGGTCCTAGGTCAACATTTGACCTACTTTTGACCGGTCAAAGGTCAAATTTTCGGAAAAATAGACTTTTTTCAACTTTCGGCGGCGATTGCGGCAAAACGGTGGGAGATATCGACTTGAAACCTTCACTATCGTGTTCCTTGATCAATTCTCTATCGTTTGGTATGTATTTCGTTTCCCTAGCTCTAAAAATGGCGCGTTGGGAGCGCCGGAAGTCGGCAAGGTCACAGTCGGCGGCAGAAATTCGAAAAATCAAAATTTAAATTTTTGAAATCTGATTGTATTTTTGGATTTGGGAGGTCCATTTGCTCCCTATAGAAGCTAATATTGCTGCATATTCCCATTGAGGTGACAAGAATTAGCAAAATAGTGGTTCGGGCGCTTTTCAAAAATAGTACCGGACGCTGTTCCTCTTGTGACGTCATAGCTCCGTGACCTGACCTGACCCTATCAAGTTTCTTATACCATATGATAGCCAATACTTGCCCCAACATGCATGGGAAGTTTCATCACGATCCATCAACCGATCTCCGTACCACCGGCAGGAAACCTCGGGCGTTGGCACTCAGTTTGTGAAAATCCGGCCGGAGGCTGTTCCCTTTGTGACGTCATAACTCCGTGACCTGACATGACCCGGTCAATTTTTTTTTTTTATCAAAAGATGCGCAAGGTTTGCCCCATAAGATACCCAAAATTTGGCGGCGCTGCGCGCCGCCGTTTTTGCACTATTTCCGAAAAACCTCAGGGGGGGGTTGCACCAACCCCCCCCCTACATGGGCGAGGGATAAACTACCCTAGAAACATGTAAAACTCGAAAAAGTGAACTGAGGTCATCAAAGGTCAATGACCTGACCTGACCTTCAGGTTATCTTCACACCCACCGTGATGCATGGGAAGAACATCATTTCACATGTTTGGACGTCTACAATCACAAAAAGGACTGGAAACGCGCGGATAATGTGAGCTGACATACGCCAAATCGCGATTCCGGCCGAACATTGTCTCGAGAATCAGGTCACAGGTCAAAGGTCTTTTGGGTCAGGGTCATGAAATTTTAAGAGTAGGTGTTAACCCGCGACCGCCTGGGGGGGTCGGATCCGACCCCCCCCCCCCTCCGTTTTTCTTGAATAACACATGAACCGCTTGCGCTATCAACTTCAAACTTCGCATACCTTCTCCCCTATCAATTTGACGTCTCCTGTGCAATTTTTAAGAAAAAATTTCAAAAAATTTTGAGATATATCGATTTTAGTGATGTAACTACATGGCGTTTTCAGTCAAAAAATGGTAAATGTTTAAAAAATCGCCAAAAATCGAGGTTTTAAGCAAATTGCAAATTAAGGACATGAAAAGACGCAGCTCAACGAGTTCTTCAAAATGGCTATCTCGGATTTTCCATAAAATGCGTTTTCACCTCTAAAAATTAAAAAAACTATATTTTTTGGAAAACAGCTAATAAAATCCAAAATTTTGAGAATTTCCAAAAAACCGGAATATATGTTATAGAGCTCTATTAGAACATTAGATGTTCCAAATTTCAACTTTCTATCTTGATTTTTGACCCCCAAATTGTAAAAAATAGCTCCAACATGCATAGGGCATGGTGACGTCATAAGCATTTTCGCGAATTAGATGCACTTCTGAACATCGCATGTAAAAACAAATGGCACCACTAGATTCCTGGGACAAAGCTCGTCTAGAAAAGTGCATTTTTATGTCAAAAATAAAAAGTTGAAAAATTGACCTTTTTTTCTTAACCCTCGTTTAGTTATGTATGGTATAAACGATTTGTTATGCTTTCAATGCACACTTATCACCAGCACAGTGACTTGGGGTCACATATAACCATTACCATCGGATTTGGCGTGAAAAATAAGCCATAAAACATGTGTCGCACGCCCATGTAGCAGAAAGTGAAAACCGTGACCTTTCGTGACCTGACCTGACCTTGACCCGTACTTAGTATGACCCCTATACGCACATGGTACCTTCACTAGGTCTTTGAGGTCATTTGTGGTGAGTTTCGAGCAGCAGCTATCGATTCCGCTGTCCGTAAGCCTAATCATGCAAAACCCCTGAATTTGACCTTTGACCTGACCTTGACCCGAAAGTTGACCTCAATCTTAAAATCTTAAGAGTGCTTTGGGAAGGTCTCGTAGAGACCTCTCGAACGCCGCCTCGCGGGGCTCGATACGACCATTGGTTCTCGAGATAACAGTGGGGGGGGGGTCGGATCCGACCCCCCCCCCCCCAGGCTGATGTGGGTACGGAAATAGCCCAGGCGGTGCCGGGTTAAACTGATCAACTCGAGGGTACTAAAAGTTTCGTCGCGATCGGCCGCTTTTTGCGCGAGTTATTTGCGAACAACCATGGGGGGGGGGGGTTCATCCGACCCCCGTACACATGTGAGGGTCAATGCTTCCAAATGCACTTATCGGTTGGTACCTTTTCGACATGGTACACAGGGTACACCCTCAAAGCTCGTAACGAGCCTTCGCTCGGGTGTCGCCCCCCCCCCCCCCGCTTCACCGGCCATGGCTGGATTTCTGCACCCATGCACCCACAATGTTCCAGCCGTTCCTACGCCCATGGTATCGCTGGTCGCTCAAATGATCTATTCGCTGATTGACCTGCATTGTGACTGTTAGCTTTGACTTTCCCTGTGTACTGGTGTCTGACATTTATGGAAAGAGTGGCATGCGACCTGACCCGTGACCTGACTCTTGACTTGGCTTTTGACCTGCCCTCTGACCTGACCTGTGGCCTGAATCTTGGCCTGACCTGTAACCTAGTGGGTTTGTTTTCTCCCATGTGACCCAACCCAACTCCCGCTTCCCGTGTTCAGGTGACAACTGCTGACGCTGGTAACTGTATAAACCACAGTAACCTGCAGACCTGACCTCTGCCCAGGTCCTCGCCTTGGTGGCGCTGTACGACCCGCGTGGCGTTGGCTGATCTGACCTGACCTAACCTGACCTGACCTGATCTCTCCTTATCACCCTGGTGGCGCTGCACGTTTCGCGCGGCGGTGACCTTTGGAGCTGACCTGACCTGACCTGACCTCTGCCCGGGTGACAACCTGACCCCGGTGGCACTGTGCGACGGCGGCGGCTGACCTGACCTGACCTGACCCGACCTGACCTGGCCTGACCTCTGTCCAGGTGACAACCTGACCCTGGTGGCTCTGTACGACCCGCACGGTGGCCGCTGACCTGATCTGACGTGGCCTGGCCTCTGCCCAGGTGACAACCTGACCCTGGTGGCACTGTACGACTCGCGCGGCGGCGGCTGACCTGACCTGACCTGACCTCTGCCCAGGTGACAACCTGACCCTGGTGGCGCTGTACGACCCGCGCGGCGGTGGCTCGCTGGAGCTGCGCTGCGCCGCCTGCACTGCCATCTGGTGGCCGGGCGGCGAGGTGCCGGTGGCGCGCCGTCTGGTGGTGGCGCGCGTAGTGACTGTCGCAGGCGCGGCGCTGCTCGTCGTCGGCTGCCTGGCCGTGCTCGGCGTGCTGCTCTCCGGGACATTCCTGGCCTTCAACGTCTACTACAAACACATGAAGTAAGGACACACACTACTACCTGCAAACACGGCAAACACACATAAACAGCGTCTACTATAAACACGTCACACGTGAAGTAAAGACACGCACACCCCCAATGCCTCCTACAAACTTTTGAGGATACACATCACCGTTCCATGCTTCTATCCTCAGGATACAGAAGTCCATCTCCTCCACGCCGCAACCCCCCTCCGGGCTGGACAGGCAACTTTATCTCATGCGGGCTGCTCCCTTGGAGCGGCACCGCTGCTCCCGAGGGAGCGCACCCCGTAGCCGGGTGCAGTGAGTGCCTTGGGGCTGGGTCCTCTGGACGGGCTCAGCCACGGCGACTCACTAGGGTGCCTGCCCAGACCAATGTCTCCCCCTATATCCTATCATCCTCCCGGCTCTGGAATTGTCTCATTGGACCGAAAGAGCCTAACCCAACAAAACAAACAAACAGAGGATACACACCTCCGTCTACTATGCAAGCATATGAAGTAAGGGCTCGATTCCCAGGACATTCAAATCTTCCATCCTCAGGACATTCAAATTTTTAATCCTTCTTCTCCACGCCGCAACCCTCAGTCCGGGCTGGACAAGCACCTTTATCTCATGCTGGCTGCTCCCTTGGAGCGGCACGCTGCCCTCGTGGGAGCACACCCGTAGCCGGTTATAACGAGTGCTTGCGGGGGGGGGGGGGCTGGTCGGCCTGTCCTTTGGGACGGACTCAGACCCGGTGACTCGCTACTCGCTAGAGTGCCTACCCTGACAAATGTAACCCCCTAATTTCTATCATCCTTCCGGCTTTAAAATGGTCTTGTCATACCGAAAGGGCCTAACCCAACGAAAAAAGGCCCGCAAGCATACCATTAATGTCTACTGCAAACATATGAAGCAAGGAGTGGACGGACACGCACAGCACATGTCCAACGTCTACTATATGTACAAGACCATGAAGTTAAAGCTCGCATATCACCAACGATTATTACAAACATTAGCAAACACGCACAAACAGCGTCCACCTACTGCAAACACACGAAGTTAGAGCACTGATATCAGGTGATTTGCCTCTTTATGAAGTCACTGGCTTGTGATAAGCAAAAAAAAAGTCACGGGTGGGCCTTGCGTACAAATATAGGCATGCAAAAAAAGTTTAGAAGTAAGAAAATTGTAAAAAAAGTCAAGTGCCAAGTGTCCGCATGAAAAACAATTATGTACATTGAGTCGATATTCAGGGCTGCGAGCCTGAATTAGTATCCATTATTCAACGAAGTGCTGCGCTTTACCCGTGCAAGCGTACCGTTGCGTGACTTTCAATGCGTTCCTAATCCTATCAATCATTCGGAATTTATAACGCTTAACGCTTCCCTAGACATTTTTCAGCAGCAGTCTCCCGACACAAGTTACAGCTATGAGTGCGTCACTGGTGCACCTCAGCTGAGCTCTGTCAGTCCCTCTGTTTGTCCACGCAATGGTCCCGTTGGTCTCGGTGTGTTCCGGAGCGGCGGGTGGCTCGGACGGCGCTGACCGTCGGTCGCTCAGGCCAACGGGCCGACCGGTTCGGTCACGCGACGTCCACGGGGACCGACGTACTGTACTGCACAGTGCACAGTGCACAGACACACAGTACACAGTCAGTGAACTGCCACTCTGCAAAGAATCACACACTAAACACAGTGCGGGAGACCCTGTCCTACTTTGACACACCACACAGCCTTTTGGGTGGTCCGATGGAGTCCGGTGACCCCGATGAAGATTTGGTACGAATAGCGACAGCATTTTCCTCATTTGTTAGAGTTGTTATGAGTTTATTTGTCAGTTTTTTTTTTAACGTTATTAAAATGTACGCACCGTTTGCGGTCAGAGTAGGGCCTGTGTGGTGCTTACCTCATCGCCCCTTCCTCATTGGCCCCGTTCACGCGCGTCAAGGCCTTTTATGTAACAGTTTTACGTATATTGCAGGCTGGTTAGGGTAGCGTTACATGCTTTTACGCGAACGACGTCGGAAATACCCCTACCCACAGCGTTCGATTGCATGTGAACGGCTTATAACCTGAGCTCCTGCCCCTTCCCCCAAAAGACAGGTGAAGCTCTCCAGTCCCAAACTGAACAGCATCACCGCCGTCGGCTGCATGCTGGTGTACGTCGCCGTCGTTCTGCTGGGGCTCGACTACGCCACGCTGACGGGCACGCGGCACTTCGACGTCGTGTGTACGGTAAGCCCCTTTCCGGGGGGAGGGGGCTATCCATCACTGACGTGGCGAGCGCCGAGCGGACCGGCGCGGCGGCGGGCTGGGACCAGGACAATGCAGTCAGGATCGGTGGCCGGCCGGACACTGAACGGCGAACTACACCGAGCGCGGCAGGTGGAGACTGAAAGTACATACATACCTTGGAGGAATTATACAATGTAAGTGATCACGATGCATCACCGAGTTACGGATGACAATGCTATTATAATTTTGAGAGCCATCATATCACTTGGTTGACCTACCGTAGCAAGGTATAATACAGATTTATGCGCCGATTTAACTAATTACTATGTGCAAGCCGTGCACGAAACCATGAATAGATTGCAAGTTGGCGCACAGAAAATTACATTTTGTTGTTTCTCTGGTAGCGTGCAATTATGCCTTCCTTTCCTGCTGGACTAAATCCTGCGTCTTCATTTTGGCGGCGACGGCGGCTGCCGCTCGGATGGTCGTTTCTGCTCCGATGGTGGCTCTGATTAGACACAAACAACTAAATTAATGGCAGTGTTGATCTGTCACGTAACTGGCTAGTAAGGACCCGGAGTCGACAGCCTCCTAAATAACGCGCCCTGCGGACTCTTGAGTTATCGTGCTGCGTGCAGCTTAGATGAGCAGCGACAAAATAACGCAGCTTGGGCTGAAGTAATTAACTAGTTAATTCAAATCTATCAGAGTTAGTATTTCATTGGCTACTATCAGATTCAAAGGAAGCTCGCATCAATTCTTTTTTATCCTCAAATTCTAAATATAACTTTTGATGACCTGAAAAAATTGTCATCACTGACCGGGAGCTGCCAGAATGACACGTCCTTTCCTTTTGTTCCAGGCTCGGGTGTACTTGTTTAGCACGGGCTTCTCGCTGGCTTTCGGTGCCATGTTCACCAAAACGTTCCGCGTGCACCAGATCTTCATCGGTAGTCGGACCGGCGTCATCAAAAACAAGGTGGGCTCTCCTCCGGTGTTGTGGACACTAGTGAGGTCAGCATAGTTTGAACGACACTATCTGGTGTAGTGTGTATGGCACGCGGACATACACACAAGAGCCACTTATACTGCATAATGCATCATATCCGCTCAATTATAGTTTTTAAAGTTGCATTCATTGACAGAAACAATACAAAAGCATTTGGATTTTTTAATTCTGGTTAGTAGATCATAAATGTTTTTTTTTTTGAGGGGGAGGGGGGCGAATAACGCATCTCTCCTTTGTCACTCATAATTAGGAGTATTTTCACTGCACTGTAGGTATTGTCACCTTGTCACTAATAGGTTTAAACGACCTTGCCGCACACAGTTCCCCATTTTTGCATTTATGATGCTGATTGCATTGTGATTGCTTAGAATCGTTAGCAATCATCCCTTTCCTGCTCAACGAGGAATAACTCGAGCAAGTTTTCTTTCGCTTGGCAAAACAATTGTTCGTCTTACACACAACTTACCTCCTTAGCGCTATGTCGGTATTTAAGGGCAATTAGAAGACAATTGAAAATGGAACCATGCGGATATATTTTCCGACGGTATTATAGATCGCAGTTAGGTACTGTTGCAGCACCTCCCTTTCATTTAAGACATTTTGTGTGCATTATAACGTGATTGAAATGCATTTAGCTGCATGTCAATTTTCAACGGCAGACATTTCTTTAATTTCTCTAGACAACAAATGTCTGATGAATAGTGAGATGTTTGACGGATAAGGCTTCTGTTTTTTACTCTATTTGATCACTGAATGTTTTTAAAGCAAGCATAAGTTCTCATATTGAAGTTCAACATTGTTGGTAACGTTATACGGTTTTCTGCAGAGAACTTGGAAGGGCTCGTTTAGAGCTACATACTTGTATGTACGCACATACTTATATGGTTACGGTTATATGTTAGTAACTACGGTAACTACCTGTAGCAAAGTAGGGTAACTGTGGGGAAGACGCACCCCTGGGTTAAACGCCTCCCCTAAAAAAATCGTATTTCTTATCGACGGATAGGTGTTTTATCCTGTCTTTCAGAACAGTCAGCTGCTTGTTTACGTAGGTCTCTATTTCCGGTTCTGCGTCTTGAGGAGCAGCGTGGGTAGGTGCTGATGTTGATTTTGGGTGTTGTTTTTGTTGTTTTTACAGAAGATTCCTAATATTTTGATGCCCTCTTTATATCACAAAACTTGCTATTGTGCACATCACTAAAAACTGCGTTTTATTGTCATTCTGTTGAACGTATTATGCTGCGGCGTTAGTGGCGCGTTTTTTGTCAATATTTTGTTGACCGGAAACGGAGTGGATGGGGCAATACGCCTACTCGATGCATGGGGCAAGACGCCCCCAGTTTTCTGAAAGGGGGCGTTTTGCACGGTGGTGAGAGTGCAGGGTAGCGCCCTGTAGGTCGGGGCCGAAAAGGCCTCTCCCTGTCCTTTTTTGCTGATATATCCTAAACGACTGCAGATATCGTCACCAAACTTTCAGGACTCCTCCGGGCATCCATTTTACACATTGCAACACAATTTTATTCCTAAGGCTATGATAGGTTGACCACTAATGACGTCAGAATGACGTCAAGTTCTGCCATGTTCATCATTTTCTGTTGATGGATGGGGTGGGGGCGCTTTGCACATGGGTGTGGGCGTATTACCCAGGGTATGGGGCAAAACGCCCTTTTGTAAGGGTATGCGAAAACCTTTTTGGGGGGTTAAATACCACACGCAGGTGTCTTTTCTTGGTCTCAAAGCGTAGTAAAAAGAATGAGCTACATGATGGTGCCCAAAGGTTTAAGTAATCTGTATTGGGTTGAGTGTCAGAAGGTTTCGCGCTTAAGGGGGGCGTTTTTGACCTATTCACCCTACGGTTTCCAAGAGAACATTTTAGATCTTCCAGAGCTATAAATTTATTTCAGGTTTGTGATTGAGGGTGGCTCACATAGCCAATTGGACATAAGTGGCAGCAAACACTCCATTTTTCTTCATTTCTAGTCCAGTATTTCTGAGTTTATCGACAATTTGTCTCTAAAATGCAGTGCTTTCTTATTGAGTAGGTAGTTAAGTTGTTTAGCGAACAGTAATTCTTCAATGCTTATCAATAATGTGGTCTATCGTTTGAAATGGTGCGGCTCCAACGCTTTTTGTATGGTGTGTGTTGCCGCCCTGTGTTTTCCATGCTGTCGTTTGCGTGTCGGCGCCGTCTGAAGCAGTGCGGACTGCCAGCCGGCGACAAGCCATTATTTACGGCCAATATCTGCGACTGTCTGCGGCGGTGGAGGCACCCGCTCCCCGGGGAACAATCTGCATCCGGCGCCGGCCGCGCGGCGGAAACAGTGGCGACCGCGGTCTGCTACAGCTGGGAACAGCACAGATTGTGACAGCTGTGACCTGTGAGCTGAACACAGCGCAGACTCTTTTGACACAGGCTGTGACTCCTGGAGTGTGATCGGAGCGTTTAACAGCGTTGAACAGAGCGATCTTGCATTGCCAAGCTAAATTGCTATGAATGTGGCCCAAAGTGGCCAGGAACATAGGCGGCCATTTTAACATTTGCCCTATGGGCGTTGCATGGAAAAAATGGGACCAAAAGTCGGCCCCCTAATTGAAGGTGTTCCGCCGCCACTTGGCCAGGAAAAAAATGTTGAATATGTTGCACAAGAAGAAAGGAGGCTGAGTAGGAGAATAGAGCGATAGAGGGCAACTGTATCCGACGTCATATTGATGACTGTGCAACTGTGACGTCAGAGTGGCGACTGTATATGACGTCAGAGTGGCGACTCAGCGGGGACGCCGTGTGATGTCGGGAGGTGCCATCCACGGGGGGGGGGGGGCGCGGTGATCAGGCGTAATGACCATTGACAGAGGCGACGCTGGGAGGGGGAGGAGGGGGTCGGTGATCGACCGTCCCCGATCACCACCCGGGCCGGGGGGGGGGAGGTAGGGGAGACGGGATTGGGCGGTCGGTGCTGGGTGAATCAGTGGTCACTGCAGGGTGGGTCACAGTTCTTCCGCACGGCTACTGCTTCTCCTCGACTGAACCGAGGTATGGACTGCCTTCTTCTGGTTTCTTTTTGTATTGGATCCAACCGATGAGGTCCTAAACGCCGAAGAGAAATGTTTAATTGACCCGTCATAGGCTGTTGATCCACTTTTATCAGGCTCGTTAGTCGTTACTTTTACTTTTATGAGGAAAGTGAGAACTCGTGATGCTAATCTATGTAATGAAACAATCGCCTATTCAATTTTATATTCAGATGAGCTTCAGTGTGTAATGCATAAATGCATACTGCGAGACGCGAGTGCTATAACGCACAACGTCCTTTGTAATCGCCTGTTCACTTCGGTCATGCCTGATGGTTTTAGCGCTGTTTTGGCTGCTTCGCGAAGGCCACCAATCTTTCGAGGCCGTCTCTGATGGACTGATTCCCTTCAGTCACGGTATGCACATCCTGTACGGACCGTGTGGGCTGGCTGTCCGCGTTGGTCAGTCAGTTTGGTCGGTAGACCGTCGGCGGACCACTGACATCAGTTGTAGTGTATAGTCGACTACAGAATGATGTCCCACTCCTCAGAAGCTATCAGCTGACCGGAGCGCTAAGTTGTGCCGTTTATCACGCAATTACATAAGCGTGTCGATTGTGAGCATTGGGACAAAGCTATAATTTGTGAATTCAGCCCGTGTGATGCGGCATAGCCTACCACTCCAGGCAAATAATTGCCTGTGAAAAGTGGAGCTTCATTCTGTAGTCGACTATACCGGTCATATGCGACCCGTCGCCGGCACTGTGGGTTGTATAAAGAAAGACATTCACTACTCGCGGCCAGGGCGAGGGAAAACACTGGCACCATGGCTGTCCATGCCCTGCTTTTATGACCCGGCTTTCATCTTTGCACCTTACGTGTATGACAGCATACAAGAAATAATTAAACACCCAACAATCACAACTGGCGACTGCTTCCTCCCTTTCTCAGTCTATTCTAGGTCCGCATATGTCCGCTAAATACCACTACGCATTCGGGAAGTTCATCATTCGTTGACATTTTTTTCGCATTGTGTTATTGTAAGGTGGCCATCTTCCTGCTTACTTTTTGCGTCATTAAATACAGCGTAGTTTTTACTTATCAACAAAGAACTGTGCCAATGAACTTCTTCCTCACGCACGTGTAGCATTCCTGGCGCATTTTTACAGCAGCGAATTTCCTCGTTACATCTGGGACTGCGTAACCAAAGAGGAGTTGTCAGCTGGTACTTTGGGAACCATAACGCAGAACTCCTTTGTTGAGGTTTCCAGACCCGTTATAAGTTTCCCCGATAAAAACCCTTTCTCTTTCCTCAGCGTATTTTACTTTATTTAACTAAGCAGCACTGGGGGGGGGGAGTTCTCTGGCTGTTGGCAGCGCTGTATTTACCGGATAGGACGGGTTAACTAGCGGTCAACGAGGCACGACGGTCGCGTGACAAACTGGTACAAACGCACTGCAGACTTGGCTGGAAATGTGTGTAATCGGATCGTGTGCTGCTTCCATGAGCTCATCTACTAAACGGGACTCATATCAGTATCATTCGGGGAAAATAGGTATGTGTTGCATTTACATACAAATCGGAATAAAGTGTTGCGATATCACTGCAAAATCAAGCAGTGATATCGAGAAAAAAATGCTTCCTGTATAGGTAAAAGGAAATGTGTGTTACATGTAACATAGCCTTCCTCACAGTCAAACGTGTTTTACTGGTAAAGACACACATACACGTTTCCATAGGGGAGTGACGCGCGGCCGTTGTGCTGCGCAGTGCGCTGTGCATTTGTGCAATGTGATTGCTACATACATTTGATTTTCTGTCGCTCTGCATCGGGTTTATGTCGCTAATGTTTTACTTGTGCACACACTGAGCACGTAAAGCACATTTTACATTTTAATTGCATTGTTGTTTAAATTAACCGTTAAGTGCTATTCACTGATGCATGACAAAATGCAATAAAACAAAGTGCTTAGGTAATGCGACTACGTGTTTCCCACTCCAGAAACATAAAAATGCATCGAATGAAGTGCATACTTTTAGTCCACCGATCCATTCAGCATCACGGTGTAAAAGCGTGGACAAATTCATGTGATACTGTTACGGATTTGCTCTGCAAGCCTATCGGCGTTCTCAGTCTTGCGAGAAGAACTTATGACAAGCAGTTGGCTGCGCTCACCCTGAAGCTTTTCCCAAGTCTGTTGACCTAATGGCACAGCTCTGATCCTTTTTTATCCTGAGGCTGGTGACCTTCTGACTTGGGCGCAGATGCTGCACGACTGATGACACGTAGCTGAAGGCACTGCTCATGGTATTGCTGCTGAGGCTGCTGCTGAGATCGTTGACGTCCTAAATCCTGAACACATATCCGCGATGTTTGCAGATGCTGCAAGACACGCAGTTGATGTCACTTATTCTGGTGTTGTAGTTGCTGTTGCCGCTACTGCCGAGGCGTTGACCACCTGACGACGTCCTCGTGTTGTCCACAGATGCTGCAGGACACGCAGTTGATGGCGCTGATCCTAGTGCTGTTGCTGATCGACTGCGTCATCGCCACGCTGTGGGTGACGCTGGACCCGCTACAGCGTCAGCTTCGTAACCTGACCATGGAGTACGCTCCTGGGGACCGCGGCGTCGTCTACCTCCCGCAGGTGAGGCGCAGGCTGCAGCAGACGTAGGCACTGACAGATGTGGGATGAGGACATCTCTACGGTAGAAGGTCCTAAGATTAGAAGGGTTAGACATTTTGTTTTTCTCACAGACGATGTTTTTGTATTTGTTTTTGTTTGTTCTGTATTGTTTTTGTATTGTCATTGTCTGTGAGAAAAAAAAACAAGGACCTAAGACTTGTGAGGCGGTTGCCTCCTCAATTACTTAGGCTAGAGGTAGGTACTCGATTTCTTGAATAATAATTAGTTCAACTAGACATCTTTGCAGTTCTGCTAGATCATATGCAAATTGTGCTTTAGCTTCGTCGATCTTCCATCTCTTGCGAACATATAGACATTTATGTATTCTTGAACTCAGCTTCCGTCCTCTTGGAAGCGTTGGTATCGTTCTTTGAAAATGTTTGCGGTACCTACTCGGCCCAACCGGCCGAAGGCCACCAACATGAAGACACAACGTTCTTTCCATTGGTGAGGGTAATAAATTGGTTCAGATATGCATAACTTCGAAGAACGCGTCGTTTAGGTACATGCACCTGTGCAGACTGGAATAAGCCAATAAGAGTGAAAGTGACTGAAGCATTTGTGGTGTCCGTTTTTTGTTGGATTTCCCATCTGACAAGGACCACCGACGCGCCAGGTGGTATCCCATTTGAAGAGACATGTCCGGTCTATGGATCTGCTTAATGTGAGCAGTTGTAATGTACGTCCATACAACACGTGAAGAGCCATGCATGTTATGTGGATGTTACTTGTGAGCAGATGTTGAGATGTATCCTTTTCTGTGATTCGCTCGTGTCAACAAAACATCAGCAAACGCCGTAACCGTTCGTTCCACTTGCCTCCAGGCTCCAAGTCACATATCATTATCTCAAAATCTACTCTAGCTATAAGCTGATGCTATCTACCCTGGCCAGCCTCAGGTGTTCTCTGCCCCTTTCAGGTGGAGGTGTGCCATTCTCAGCACGAGCACAAGTGGCTGGGCGCTCTGTACGTCTACAAGGGCCTCCTGTTAACCGTGGCAGTCTATATGGCTTGGGAGACCAGGTTGGTGCCTCGCCTTCTGATTCTCACCCTTCTTACCTATTGACCTTCTCGGATATATGCTTCTGTCTTTATCATTGGCATTGCCAGTTGCTACAATACATTTTTTTCTCAAAGCGCAATAACTATGCATGCGTCTGGCTGGATCCGTTACTTTTTCTCTTTCAACATTAGTTCCCTATCACGGACTGCCCACTCATCCCGTTTCAGAGGGGTGAAGATCCCCGCGCTGAACGACTCCCGCTACATCGGGCTCAGCGTGTACAACGTGGTCATCACGAGTGTGATCGTAGTCACCATGGCCAACGCCGTCTGGGACCGGGTCACCCTCGCCTTCGTCCTCATCGCGTCCCTCATCATCATGTCCACCACGACCACACTCTGTCTGCTCTTCCTTCCAAAGGTGGGTGCGCTAGTCAGGGGTTTCGGTAGGCTCAGCTTGGTGAGGGTTTTGTTGGTTGGGAAGGTCATGAAGAGCCCATGAGTATGCGAGAAGAACCGGACTTGGTCGATAGCAGATAGCGGAATGGTGATGGACAGCCTGATAAAGGCGTCGTGACCTTACATTGCTCTCCTCTGAAGAGCCCCGAAGAATGCCTGAAACACTCAGGCGTCTAAAATTGCCTCCTCTCCAGTGCAGGGTGCTGCTTATTGCTGGCTTGTAGTGCTGGAATCCAGCACGATTGCATGCTACAAGCATTTAAGCATGTAGGCGTTGACGATACTTTAGACGCTCAGTAGCTTCTGCCTTATTGGACGATGATGAATTACTGTGGGGCACTTGGCTGTTGTGGCAGCAGTGAGGACTTGAAGTGAAAATCTCGAGCTCATCAGTCTTCTCTACCTCTTCTCTGCCGCTCGAGTGTAATCCCCGCCGGGGCTGCGCTGCTGTTGAGCTGTTGTGTCGTGTCACCATGTCCGGCTGGAGCCCGTTAGCGCCGCCTAAATTGGTCTGACAGGTGCGCTCGGCCTGCCCGCGGGCGGGTCCGACCCCCGTCGGAAGTAGCCCGCAGGTCCGGCTTTGCAGCGGCGAACAAACACGGGGATTATTGGCCGTCAAATATGAAGGCAAACAAGAGGCCACTGCCTAAAATAGAGTTTACTTTGTTCTTCAGCTGCGCAGTATGTGAACTCATGATTGACTGATGAATGAATTCGTCGTGAACTTGGGCAGATATATTTGTTATTCATTCATGTGCATAGTTCCGGATCTTTTATAGCATTTTTTTTATGCAAATCCAGCTGAGCAAAACATGTTCTCTTTCACCTTGTCTGCAATTCAGCGCTGGATAAGCCATGCCTTGACTGTCAAAGGTCCAAGGGCGCTAGCCTGAATGGTGTGTGGACTCAACTTCCGACAATTTAATTTGCCTCAACAATAAGCTGGGTTCGCTCACGTCCCGCCGCTGTGTCGCTCCTTATTCTGTAGCGGGTCTGGATTCACGGCACGTCGCGGCTCATAGTCACCGAAGCGTCCTCTGTTCCGCTGGTGAGGACCATGCAAAGCCGCCGGCCGCCGGTCAGGGGGCGATTTTTGTACGGCGCCGCGCGATGGTCCGATTAGAACCAGTTTGCCGGCGCGGTGGCGGCGCAGCGGCTATAAGGCGGCTCGTCGCGCGGCCGGCGGCCAGTGTGGTGCGGCGCGACTCGCGCGCTCCGGAGCGGGATGGCGGAGGCGCTGAGCTGCGTGCTGCTGCTGCTGGGGACGGCGGCGCTGGCGGCCGGGCAGCTGTTCGACTGCCGCCGCGACCAGCGACACGTCAAGGAGGGCGACACCATCGTGCGGGACTGCCAGCGGCTCATCTGTGTGCGGGGCGACTTCGAGCCGGATGGCTGCGAGATCAGCAACGCCTGCCGCGGCCGCTGCAGCGCCACCGGCGGCGCCATCGTCTTCAGTCCGCCGTTTCTCGTCAAGCTGCCGGTGAAGCTGCCGCCAAAGGTGCCAACCAAGCCGCCCGGTCCGCTGCCGGGACCGTTGAGCGGGGTGTTCCCCCATCCACCTCCGCTGCCGCCTCGCAGCGATGTGCAACAAGTGCAGCCACCGAAGCAGTTGCAGCCTCTGAAGCCGCTGCGTCCTCTGCAGCCGCTGCAGCACCTGCAGCCGCTGCTGCCGCTGCCGCCGAGGGGCCTTCTGCCGCTGCCTCTGCGGACGCCGGGCTCCTGCTCGGACAATGGCCTGCCGGTGGCGAACGGTCAGGTGCTGGAGGCGCCCGGGTGCCGCCAGCTCTCCTGCCGTGATGGCGTGCTCACCACGCGCTTCTGCGAGGAGGTGCCGCCTGGCTGCACGGTGGCCAAGCGCGACACGGCCAGCGCGTTCCCGGACTGCTGTCCGGTGTGGTCGTGTGTGGGTGCCGGCAGCGGCGGCGCGGCCGGCTCCCTCGGAGTCGGGTTCGTCGGCAGCGGCAGCGGCGGCGCGGCGGCCGTCGCCGCGCGACTGCAGGACGGCTCGTGTGTCCAGGCCGGCGGTCGGACGATGCACAGTGGACAGACCGTGTTCGGTCCCGGCTGCGTCAAATACGTGTGCAGGAAGGGCGTGCTGACCACGCACGGCTGCAGCACGGTGCCCGCTGGCTGCACGCCACTGCCCCCGGCGCTCGGCAAGCCGTTCCCCGCCTGCTGCACGCGCTGGAACTGTATCGGGTAGCCGTGCACCAGCGCGGGCCATGGCGCTGGTCGGGGCGCTGCCGTGTCCTTGGTCAGGGCGACGGACTAGAGCCAAGGAGGAAAAGGGGCAACGGAAGACAGTGGATTGCGGCTGGAAAACTTACCGAAATACTGCGTGCGTTTCGCGGCAGGTTTCGCTTATCGAGCTTGCACCTTCTGCGGCATGGCATCAATGTTACTGTGCTGAGTTACGACATATCGTTTGGCATCCAGTATTTGTCTTGTGATGGATGCATCATGCAAAGTTACGTGTTTTTGTGTGATAGTTGGGCAGGATTGTTCACAGTGGCATTTTTTCAACAGTTGTGTCGGGGGCTCGTCTGTAAACCAGTTCCTGGATCCGTATGCAAGCGGCATTATGGAACTTCATCTTTTACAAATTATAAACAATGCCTTTGGAGTTTTTCATCCTTTGTCTTTTGTATTGCCATTGTCTTTGTCCTATCATTGATTAATTGTTTTGATGTAGGTGATTGTTGCCATTTCTATTTTGTTTTCGTCCATTTTTCCTCTTTAGCAAATGACTTGTCCTAAGCTCACGATGTGGTCATATTTTTATTGAAACCATGCTGGTCTTACAATTCCATAAACTTTTATTCCGGGTTTCTTATTTCAAACGAGCCCCTGGATAAGTGAATAGTGTTTTTTTTTTTGCGTTTTCAATGCGCGACTGAAACGCATACGAAGCGTGAATTGTGAGGTGCTACCACAGTAAGTGGATAGGACGGGCCGTCATCTCATTTGCTCGGGACATTCGAGCCATTTAGAATGGCTTGCATGTTATTCTTGTTTATCGTGTTAGTGCCATCAAGAATGATTTATGCGCAACCAACTGCAGTAAGCAATGGTTTCATCATAGTTTGTGTCTGTCCATATGCATCGAGAGTGACATGGCACTGTTGTCTGTGAAATGTCTGTCCATAAAATAAAGCTTATTTATTTCCTCCCTCAAGTTGCTTTTTTGTGGGCTGCGATTTTTCATCCAGATTGATCCGTTTCTTGATGAGCTTCTTACCAAACGCATTCGAAATGCCAATGTGGATACCATAAACACGAAGAAAATAAAATGACGGATCACTCGCTAGAAAATTAAACAATCAATGCATTTTCTTTCAGGATCTGTCGAAATATTCACTTAGGCCCGTGTCGTGTCGGAGGGGAGGAAAATGTGGTCCTAAAGTTTTTTTTTTTTTATTTATTAACCCGCGCCCCACGGGGGGGGGCTATTCATAGCCCCCCCTCCCATTTTTCTGCAATAACTTCCAAACCGCTTGACGGATCGACGCCAAACTTTCAGTACCTTCGACTGCATCAATTTGACATCTTGTGTCAAAATCTGAACTTCGTAGCTACCATAGGTCGGCCGGAAATGACGTCAGAGTGACGTCATGTTCGTCCGATTTCGACGCAAAACATTGAACCACGGCAATCGCTCCCAAGAGCTCAGTTTTTAAGCTAGATCCAATTTCTTTGTATGAAAGGACTCAGAATTGACCGCGCTATCAACCTGCTATCTCGGATTTTCAAAATTTTGAAAGTTTCGAAAATTGTATATAATAATATTCAAAATTTATATTTTTATATTTTTTTCAAAAAGTTTTTGACTTTTCGAAAAAACCGGAATATATGTGACAGAACGCATGATTATGACTAACTCTAGCAAGTTTTAGCTAAATATCTTCAAAAATGGCCAAGTTATACGCATTATTGCAAAAAAATTCACAATTATTGATTTTTCAAATCAATTTTTCAGTACGTATTTGACATCGTACACCAATATAAATGGCACCATCGTGTTCCTGAGCTCAAACTGCATCCAATAGACACCTTTTTTTGTTGAAAAAGTTTAACTTCAAAATTTGACCTTTTTGACCTGAAAGTGACCTGACCTAAGCTAAATTCGACTCAAAATGACCTCGAATGACACAGACGACATCAAATTCGAAATCTATGGCCTAAATGGACCATAAAACATGTGTCACGTCACCGACGCATAGTATAATATTTTCGTGACCTGTGATGACCTGACCCTTACCTGAAAATCAAAGTACAAGCTTGGTACCCTCAAGGTATCTAGAGCATCTGTTCACGAGTGTGGAAACCAAAAATGAGCCTGATCTGACTTGTAAGACGGCGGCCAGAGCCCAAAATGTAAACAAGCCAAAATGCTAATAATTTTTACTTTGACCTGACCTGTGACGTCATCGGTGACCTCGGGGTTAATGAAATTAGGCTTCGCTCGACAGTTTTTCCGGGGCTATCAGACGCCGTTTGAATTTTGACGATCGGCCCAGTAGTTTCGGAGTTAGGAGGGGGGGGGGGCTATGAATACTGAATAGCCCCCCCCCCCCCAGTAGGGCGTGTTATACACAGACCCCAGTGGGGCGCGGGTTAAATAATTCTTGTTGTAACTAAAAACGACGGCTTAGACGTTAGAGAGAGCGCCGAAACCATAGGCGGCGGAAACCACCGGGGCACCGTGCCCCCCTTTGATTTTGGCATTTTAACATTAGCCCTATGGTCGTTGCATGGAAAGAATGGGACCAAAAGTCGGCAGTGCCCCCCCCCCCCCCTTAATTGAGTGTGTTCCGCCGCTACTGGCCGAAACGCCTCTCCCCTCCTCCGGATGTGCAACAATCAGACCATTTCTCTACTGCTGCGGTCAAACCAACCTGAGTGTAGACGTATGGAGACTTCATATAAAGTGAGGGGTGACCGGGAAACTGCATATGACTTGGG